ACGGCCCAGGCGCGCCCCTGGCCGCTTCCCACCGCGCTGCTGGCAGGGCCGGCCTCTGCTGCGGAGATTCACCGCGGCCACGACGGCCCAGGCGCGCCCCTGGCCGCTTCCCACCGTGCTGCTGGCAGGCCGGCCTCTGCTGCGGAGATTCACCGCGGCCACGACGGCCCGGCGCACCCCTGGCCGCTTCCCACGGCGCTGCTGGCAGGCCCAGCCGCGAGCTGGAGCCCGTGAAAAAGTGCGGAACGAACGTGTTTCCGTTCAGTGTTCTAGAATTCCTGCCTTCTCCACGATGGGCACCATCGTCTGGAATTTCCAAAACGCACGGAGAACAGTAGACTCCTAACTCCTGCAGGAAAGATGCCCTGGCTGGGTGGCTCCGGCAGCGGGGCGTCTTCCGGACCCCAAAAGGCTGTGGATAGGATTCCCTGTCAGGGTGTGTGCAGGAGGCGACCGATCGCTGTTTCTCTCTCACATCGGTGTCTCTCTCTCCTCCTGCCCCTTTTCCCTCTAAAAAAATAAACAAACAAACATATCCTTGAGTAAGGATTAAAATACTACTACTACTACTAATAAAAGAAAGACACATGTTCAACACAGGTCCTTTACTGTTGTATGTCTGTGTCTTTACTGTTTGGAAGCCATACAGAAAACAAGTGCTTTGGGACATATCTGGCAGCACTGCTTTGGGTCCAGGGGTCCAGGGGTCCAGGGTGGGGTGCACTCGGGGTGCAGGAGCAAAGATCCTGCCAGGAGAAGCTTCTGGAGGGGAAGAGTCACCTGGCAGGCACCCGTGTGAGTGCTGACAGCAGCAACGATCGGACCGTGAGCCAGCGCATGGCGGCGCTCAGCTCCGTGAGGGGCGATCGCGAGGCGTCCCGGGAGGCACGGCAAGAACGTCTCCAGGACAGAGTGGGAAATGGACGCGGTGCCTGTTGTTTTCGAAGAGGGTTACTATCTGAGGGCTCTGGGATCTACCTTGGTCATGACCCAAGGTCAAAACTGAGCAGCGAGCAGGACGCTGTGCTACACGCTCGGCGAGTTAGCCGGTCTCTGCACCCAGCGCAGCCAGATGCGCATGTGCCCCCCAAGCACGCACACTTGAAGGAGACACTGCTTCACCTCTCATGCCGAGGTCTCTGATTCATCGTGAATTGTTTGGGAAACAGCTGAGGGAGGGGTGCTGAGTTTTTTCCCCATTATGAACTTAAAAAAAAAAATCCTCATGTGAGGATATGTTTTCATTGCTTTTTAGAGAGAGAAAGGGAGAGAGACAGCAATGTGAGAGAGACATAAATCGACACCTCCTGAACGCGCCGATTGGGAACTGAGCCTGGCCACCTTGTGGTATACAGGACGACACCAGAACCACCTGAGCCACCCAGCCAGGGCCCTCAAGGGTCTCTCACTGGTCTAACACTGTCTACGCAAAAGACCACCCTCTTCTAGCCGGACGGCACGGGCTGCTGCTTGTGTGTGGGACCCGTCTCTGGAGCCTCCGCTCGGCCAGACCCTCAGCGCGGGGTCTGCGCTGCCCCACCGCACGGTCACGCGCAGGGCTGCCTTGCTCCCAGGGGTTAGCAGTCACAACAGGATCTCTGTACGGGGACAGCTGTTTGTGGAGAAACTAGATGCTGGGCAACTCTACAGACATGATGACACATTCACACGACCCCGCAGGGCAGGTCCCGTTAACAGGCAAAGAGGCGGACACTCACAGGAGCCAAGTGAAGTGCTCAGAATTCAACAAGAGGCAGAACCTGGGTCTGCTGGCCCCGGAGATGATGCTGATGATATCATGCTATAGGATCACAGGGAAAATCACTGTTTGCTTATTGTTCCTGTAAACAGTTACATCTCTATAGGCATGTGAAACTTATAAATGAGGTCTTTCAATACAAAAAATGAAAAAGAAAGACGGGGAAGAAAGAAAGAAAAGAACAGAAGGAAACAACCCTGTTTGGATTCTCATTCTACCCCATCCCCTCCCCCTCCAATAAAAACAACATTAAAAAAAGCCACATCAAGGATAGCTGATCAAAACACAGATCAAAAAAGAATGAAAGAAAAACATTTCAAATAAAGTTCAGCTGTTTCTGTTTGGAAACAACAACAAAAATCCCACTTGCCACAGTAAACTGACAAATGAGAAACGGACTCTGTGGTGGCGGAGCTGGAATTTTCCGACGGCCTCTGCTATGTCATTACCGTGGGCGACCCGCAGTGCGCGGGAGCGAGCAGCTGGGTGCTGGCTGGCTCGCTCCAGAGCAGCAGCCCAGGCGGACCTTCCGTCAGCCACCCCTTGGAGGGTGTCTTTCCCCTGAACCTGGAAATCCCCGCTGGCCTCCAGAATCGGCCTCCAGCCACGGGACCGTGACACGCCTTCCAGCCTCACCCTGGCCTCGTCCCGCCTGGACAAGTTCTCTCTGCTTTGCCAGCCTGGAGCTCCCCATCCCCAGGGTGGCTGAAAGCAGAGGTCTTCTGCAGGGTCCTAATCGGAGACTTCCAGTGGGGAGCAGGGGCTGCTGTCCAAAGGTGTCAGAAGCCCTCGCCCCCATCCCATGTAGGAGATTGATGGACACGGCCAGTTGATCCACAGTGACAGAAAATGGAGGTCTTGTTATTTTTTTATTTATTTATTTTTTTTATCCTCACCCAAGGACATTTTTCCATTTTTTGTTCAGGTAGAGTGGGAGGGAGAGAGAGGAACAGAGAGAGAGAGAGAGAGAAACATCGACATGAAAGGGACACATCGAGTGGCTGCCACCCGCACGACCAACCAGGGCCGGGGACAAACTGCAACCGAGGTACGTGCCCTTAGCGGGAACCGAACCCGGGTCTCTCAGGACCGCAGGCCGACGCTCTAACCGCTGAGCCAAACCGGCCAGGGCGGAAATGGAGGTCTTGTTATTAACTGGTATTTAACATCAGAATTGTTCCTAGTCTAAGCACATCCAAAATATTTACTGCTTTTTAACACAAAATACTGAAATTAGAGTTTGATAAAAGCTTGGCTGGTGTTAATTATTCGAAGAAGTTAAACCAAACAAATCTGAAGTAACATCACTGCCAAGCCCAGCGGAGCGAGCTCACAGGAATCGGAGGGCTCATGGGAGAGATGTCTCTTGGCACAGACGTCCCCACCAACAAAGCACACACACGCACCCCTCACCCGGCCGCCAGGGGCCACCGCCTGTTCATGCTTTCACTCGACAGAAACAGCCTCCGGAGCCTCTCCCGGGTTCCTGAGCACTAGGGGGAGGGGACAGTCACCACCGACTGAGAGGGGCAGTCTTGCCGAGAGGCGGTAAGAGTTTAACCCTGGACAGGCCACGTTTGGCATGTTGGTAAGACATGCACAGAGAATGGTAAGCAGGGTATCAGATGTATGTCCGATACGCAGAAGAAAAGTCTGTCTAGAGGTTAAGTTCAGGAGCCACAGGTGAAGAGATGCTACTTAACGCCATGAGACTACCCAGAACACAACGGTCTCACCATCTGCATGGTTCGCAGCCTGGCTCCAGCCAATGTCATTTCTTGCCTGGTTGATGGCAACAGCCTCCCTGCAGGGTTCCCTGTCCCTGGGAATACACTCCTGTAGTTTCTCTGTGCGTGCTCCGTCCCCTCCCAGTGGCTGGTGAGGAGGCCGTGTAGGCAAGTGACTAAGAATCAGGCGCACACCGAGTTGAAACCTGGGTCCAACCTTGAGGACAAGGCGCTGAGCCTCTCGCTGGCTTGCTCATCTACGAAACGGGAGGGTGCTAACACCGCGTCTGCCTTGTGCGCGGTGGGGAGTAAGAAAGGTGATGTGTGTGAACACAGTGAGGACTCACAGAGGCTCCTGCACGAAGGGAGTGAGGGAGCGAGGATCCGGAGAGGAGGAGCCAGGCCAAGACCCTCGGCAGGAATCCCACGCATCTGGCTGCCGTGCCCAACAGCCTCCGAGTTGTCTGGTCCTTGCTAAAAGCTATAGACTACTGACACAAACCTCTTTTCATTAAAGGTCAATTCAGGGAACATAAAAGTAAAACTGGGTAAATTTCTTTTTTCCCAACAAATCAACTTCATCTGCATGTTCTTTTACCGCCTTGCTGTGACAGGAAGCTTTCTTCTCCTTTTCCTCCCATCTTGGAGCTAAATGCCCGGCAGGTGTCGGAGGCGGCACAGCCCGAGCCCCCGCCCCGGAGGAGCCCCCGCCTCGGTGCATCAGCGAGCCAGCTTCGCTCCGCGTGAAGGAGGGGCGGCCCCTGGCTGTCCCCGGCTGCGCATGGCTGCGTGCCCTCTGAAAGAAGACGTCTTTCTCTACTGCTAATCAGGCAAATGACAGTATCTTTAGCACAAATAAGCATTTTCAGTCTACTTACTTTGAAACACATGATTTTCATCAGCTCCTTTTCTATTCTTGACAGAAACCACAGTGAGGGGAGTTTTATTTTAGAATGCCCCTCCACCCCCTCCGGCTCCTCCATCCTAGGCCCACAGGGCTCCACTCTCCGAGGCCCCAGTGGTCTACTTGCCCCTCCCACCTCAATCAGCACAGGCCACCATGCAGTAGGGGCGGGGCCGGCCACGTGAGGCTCTCCTCGGGGAAGGGCCAGACAGCGCACGCGTCTCTGACCTGCGAGGCCCTATGAGCTCCCTGGTCCCTGCCGCCACACTAGGTCGGGCCCTGCAGCGCTCCTCGGAGAGGCCAGCGCCCTGCGAACACGCCCAGGGTACAGGTGGCTTGTTTCGTCCCAGGTGTGGCCAAGAGCCAGAGCCCCAGCTGCAGTCACAGAGGTCATAGGACAAGACCTGCCCACACTGAGAGTTTGGCGCCTCTGCAACGTTTCTCCCATACCGTCCGGTTCACCTTGAAAATGGGCTCTACACCGCACAGGCTGCACAAGGGACAGTCCAGCCGTAACCGAGACAGTGGCCCACAACACAGGCACACCAGGAAGGGGCGGGGACAAGGCCCTGGCTGTGCTCGGATGCCGGTGGTTCCCACGAAAGGATACAGGGGTTGCTGTCATCCAGGCTGCAGCTGTCCAGGATCAAGGGGATGCCGTCCAGCTCCCTGACCTGGAGAGAGAGGAGAACACGGATTTACACGTGGCAACAGCCTGGGCGTGTCGGAGATCAAGGATGCTTGCTTCTGTTTCTATCTCCCACCCATACCCATGCTGTCGGCGCAGTCAGCCCAGGAACGGCGAACAGCAGGTGTGCAGACACCAAGTGGTGCTTTCTCTCCCTCTTTCCTCAGAGTGGGGGGCGACGGGGCGCCACATTAACGAGGATAAAGCAGACCTCTTTCTGACTTTGTTCAGCAGGATAAGCTCCAATGGATCTGAGTTTACTATAGCTACTAGTACTAGTACGTGAATTCTTTTTTTTTTTTTAATTGATTGATTTTAGAGAGAGACGAAGGGAGAGGGAGAGAGAGACAGAAACATCGATGAGAGAGAACATTGATTGGCCGCCTCCTGCATGCCCTTCACTGGGGATCGGGCCCACAACCTGGGCATGTGTCCTGACCGGGAATTGAACCAGTGACCTCTTGCTACATGGGTCGATGCTCAACCACTGAGCCACACCAGCAGGGCAGTGAATTCTTTTCTAAGCCAGGAGTAGGAATGCTTTCCTGTGATTCAAAATCCAGAAGCAAGAGGGAACAGGTCTTACTAGTTTTTTTAAAAGGCAAATGAAAACTGGGAAAATTATTTGTAAGATATCATAGGCAAAGGTTAATACTTTAATATATAAAGAACTTCTAAAAATTGAGAAAAGGCCCTGGCCGGTTTGGCTCAGCAGTTAGAGCGTCGGCCTGCAGTCCAGAGAGACCCGGGTTTGGTTCCCGCTAAGGGCACGTACCGCGGTTGCAGTTTGTCCCCGGACCAGGTTGGGTCGTGCAGGAGGCAGCCACTCGATGTGTCCCTTTCACGTCGATGTTTCTCTCTGTCTCTCTCTCCCTCCCTCCCACTCTATCTGAACAAAAAAATGGAACAATGTCCTCATGTGAGGATAAAAAAAATAAAAATAAATAAAAAATAAAAATTGAGAAGAGACCAACAAACCAATAGAAAAACAGATGAAATACTCGACCAGCAATGACACAGAAGAAGAAGAAATGCAGGGGGACCATAAAGATATCAGAATATGTCCAACTTTATCCCCAGTAAGAGGAAGGCAAACTCCTATCACACTGAGGTGCCGATGCTCAGCTGTCCGGATGGCAGGTGCCTAGTTCGCCAACACACGCTGAGGGAGGAGAGACGGAGACAGCCACCAAATACACCGCTGGGCGAATGCTGAAAGGCGCCACCCGCGGAGGCGAGCTGGGCAGTCCCCAGCCAAGTCATGCGTTATTTACTCTTCTGACCCAGTAATCCCATTTCCAGGACTGCAGATAAAATACACACCATCACATGAAATTCTGTTTGCACAGGTGATTCACTGCAGCACAATTTATATTTTTAGAAGTTTTACTGAGATTATAATCCTACTATAAAAACCCATGTTTTAGTTCAGTGGATTTTAGTACTCTCACAAAGTTGTGCGATCTTCACCTCTATCTCATTTGGAACACTCATCACCCCAAAAAGAAAGTCTGTACCCACAGCAGTCACTCCCCTTTCCCACCAGCAGCCACCCCCCCTCCAGTCCCTGGCAACCACTGACCTACTTTCTGTCCCTATGGATTGGCCTGTTCTGGAGGTTTTACGCCAATGAGATCACACACAACACGTGGACTTTGGTGTCGGCTTCTTGCACTGATCATGGTGCTTTCTTCCTTTCATGGCCGAGTCACACTCCAGTGTCTGAGTGGACCACATTGTCTATCGGTGCACGTGGTGATGGCCGCCTGAGTTATTCCAACCATCTGGCTATTATGATGATGTTCTTGTGAATGTGTGTGTGCACATGTTTACGTGGACACAAGTATTTAATTGTTGTGCTATATATACCCACTGGTTTTAGGTAACCCCGCATCTAACGTTTGAGAAGCGGCCAGACCCTTTTTCAAAGTGGCTGTACCATTTTACATCCCACCAGCAATGCGCAGGGTTCCACTCCCCCATCCTCGGCAGCATCTGTCACTGCCTGGCTTGCAGTCTGGCCACCCCAGTGGGTGTGAAGTGCCATGTGACCATGGCTTTGATCTGCAGCCTCCTGACAACTAACGACTGACTCCGAGTGTCGGCAATATTCACAATAGTGAAGACCATGGAAACAACTCCACGTGATCAGTACAGTCTGGTCAACGAGCTCTGGCATGGACACGGATTTTTACGCAGATGTGGACAGCGAATGGAGTGGACCACTGAGGCATGCCGGGGAGGAGGGCCAGACACAAGGGAGTGCCAACAGCGAGGTGCAGAATGGCTCATATGTGCGCCTCTAGTGTAACAAAGGAGGCGAAATGTACAGATCCTCTTTTATTCCAAAAAGAAACAAAGAAGGGCTGACCGAAACTCTAATAATGGCTTTCCCCAGGGCAAAGAAGAGAACGAGGGGCGAGATGAGGCAGACCTCTGTAAGTGTCCCTGGCTGTACGATTCTGACTTTGGACTCTTGTATGTATTTTATATGATTTTAAAAAATTAAATTTATAAAATTCGACAAACAAATGAATCTGATGACATGTGAAACAAAGACGACTTCTTTTGTAGAGTTGAGTCATCGTTCTGCTGTGTCCTACACTCACAGACGGGCTCAGGGACCTCACAGCCACGCCTGCCACCTGAGCCTGACCCCACAGTGCTGCTGTGTGGAACCATTATTTCTATATTTAGTCTAAAGCAACGGGTAAGTAATCATTAGGAACCAAGATTTTCAGCATTAAAAGTTAATTTTACATTTAATTCTTTTAAAATATGGTTTTTAAAAATTTTTTTTAGAGAGAGAGGAAGGGAGAGAAACATTGATGACAAAGAAACATCACTGGGCCGCCTCCTGCATGCTCCCTACTGGGGATCGAGCCCACAGCCTGGGCATGTGCCCTGACCGGAATCGAACCAGGACCTCTCAGTCCATGCGACTGAGCCACACCTGCCAGGCTATATTTTTCTTTCTCTAAAAAATATTGCCCTGGCCGGTTTGGCTCAGCGGTTAGAGCATAGGCCTGCGGTACAGAGAGACCCGGGTTCGGTTCCCGCTAAGGGCACGTACCTTGGTTACAGTTTGTCCCCGGCCCTGGTTGGTCGTGCGGGTGGCAGCCACTCGATGTGTCCCTTCACATTGATGTTTCTCTCTCTCTCTCTTCCTCTCTCTCCCTCCTGCTCTATCTGAACAAAAAATGGAAAAATATCCTTGGGTGAGGATAAAAATAAATAAATAAATAAATAAATAAATAAATAAATATTTCCTGCCGAGCTGTTGCTGGCAAGGCCTAGATGCAGCCAGCCAGCAGCCGTGGCCAGTCCAGTACGAAATGAGCCGTCATCTAGACCACGCTCCGCACGGGAGCCACCGTCCAGCTGACCGAGACGCAGCCCTGCTGAAGGCAGGGAGAGGGGAGACAGCGAAGCCGGCATTTCCCTAGGCACCGAGGTGGCAGGAAAACGAAGCCCTATTTAACAGACACCCACCTGCACATGCCAGGCAATGGCAGACACCGGACCCATTTAACTCTGACAAGGCCCGTCTGACAGCTGATGGAAGCGGGCCTCACAGGCCAATCACCCTCCCGTGGTCACAACTAGCCAGTGCCACTCAGTGAGGTCTGGAGGCCAGCCTCAGTCTGCAGGAGCACACAGGGAGAGGAAGGAGTTACGCCTTGTCTGCTGGCTCTTACCATGAAATCTGGGCTTGGATTTTCTGTCTTTTGAAAAGCTTCCCAATGCAATCCCCACACCCCCACTTCTCCACCCATGCCCCGCCACGCAGCTCCCAGCAGGACGGGGTGCTAAGAAGCAAGTCTCCAAATGGGAAAGGAGCACTCTGCCAAAGCCCTTGCCTTGGGGTGAAGAGGAGAGACCTCAAAAAGGACCAAGGGCCTGGTGACTGGCACAGAGGGTAAGAAACAGCAACACCAGATGACCCTCACCAGCCCTGCAAATGTGTGAGCTAAACCCTCTGGGACACGCGTGTCTCCAGGCCACACTACCTGCACTCAGGGTTTGGTTCAGCGAGGGGACCACTGTGTGTGGGGCTTACGAGGAGGCTCCTGGAAGAGGTGACGTTCACCTCAGGATGAGAAGAATGGACAAGGGGCTGGGCGAGGCGGCAGCAGAGCACGCTTGGGCAGGGCGCGCATGCGCACAGCCGCATGAGCAGGGACCTGCAGTGCTCAAGGCCTGGGAGCACGCAGCGCAGGGACGAAGAGCCCGGCCTGCAGAGCCAAGGGCTGGGCCAAAGCCTGGGCCTACAGCCCTTCCAAACCGCTAAGACTTAGTTCTCTCATCTGTGAAGTGGAGGTGACAGGGCGATTCCAAAGGTGACTGAGAATGGAGTGGAGGACCGAGTACAGCTGGCGCACGGCGATGTCTCAGTGGCGGGTGGGGTGGCGGCGGCAGTGGGCAATGTCCGTGCTGTTCGCGGGAGGAGGGCCAGCTGGCCAGCAAGCAGTGACCAGGATTCTTGAAAGCTGAGAAACTGGAGGGTGACTGTCACACAGCCCAATACACAATTCCACTCTGTATCAGGCAAAACCGTAAATTCATTTTTAAAAACCATCTTTTGGGGAAGGATTAAGGATTCAGGACCTATTATTCAATGCCAGGGAAACATCTCATTTTGCTGGGGAGAGAAAGAATTCTCAGATATGCTAAATGGGTAAGACGTTCTTTGAGGGAAATAAATTCACATGCTAAAGACTGAAATCTAAGCACGCAGTAAATGACGGTCACAGAGTTGTGGCTGAACTGTGGTGTGCTTCCCTAGTTAGACACCTGTCCTTCACTCCGATGAATTATGAAATGATACAAAATAAATCTTTATATAAATTCATGAAATGTTTATAACAGAAGCGACCTATGACGAACAGGTCATATATACACTTAGGAATGAATGCAGGGACCCTGGCCGGTTTGGCTCAGCAGTTAGAGTGTCGGCCCACGGACCAATGCGTCGCGGGTTCAATT